TTCTCTCCTAGGGATGTTTCTGTTTCTCAAGGGAGAAAAATGATGGGGAATTTTGCAAAAGGGGAGAGATGACCGGGGGGGGGGGGAATGGTGTGAGATGGAGGCAAATCCAGGAGCTGAACACGACAGGAAGAGGTGGCCGGTTTTAGAGAGGCAGGGGGACCTTTGGACGGCAGCGAACGCTGGAATCCGAGGACCGAAGATCAGGGCCAGAGAAGGATTGTGATACGCAACAGATAAAGAATTGGGTGAAGGTCATGAAAAGCCTGTGAAGAGGACGGAACGAGAACTCTGGCCAACATCTGGGAGCAGGCGAGGAAAGATGTGCGGATCTCAAGGGTAAAGCAGCAGCCCTGATCCAGACGGCCTCAGTACCGTAAAAACCCCCGGCTGGATTCACACAACCCTGTTGAGCCAGGCTCAGTAGGAACCTAGCACCGAGGATTGGGATAATATTAACAACTGGACTAATAATAGGAGTAAGAATAAGGAGGATGAGGAGGGTGGTGATGAGGATGGTCTGAATTTACACAAGCAGCAGAGCCTGGCTAAGTAAAAAAACTAGAAATGAGGGCTGGAAAAACAATAGGATGGATGGATGGATGGAGGGAGGGAGGGAGGGAGGGAGGGAAGGAGGAAGAAAAGGGAGGGAGGGAAGGAGGGAAGGAGGAAGAAAAGGGAAGGAAGGAAGGTGGAATGAGAAGGAAAGAAGGAAAGAAAAGAAGAGGATGAAGGAAGGAAGGAAGAATGAGAAGGAAAGAAGGAAAAGAAAGAAGAGGACAAAGGATGGATGGAAGGAAGGAAGGAAGGAAGGAAGGAAGGAAGGAAGGAAGGAAGGAAGGAAGGAAGGAGAGAGAATTGAAGGGAGGGAGAAAAGAAGACAGACAGCTTGGTGGCAAGCTGTTCCACTGGTTAATTGTTCTCACTGTCAGGAAATGTCTCCTTAGTTATAATAATAATAATAAAGTTGGAAGGGACCTTGTAGGTCATCTAGTCCAGCCCCCTGCTCAGGCAGGAGACCCTATATACCATTTCAGACAAATGGCTGTCCAGTCTCTTCTTAAAAACTTCCAGGGTCGGAGCATTCACAACTTCTGGAGGCAAGGAGTTCCACTGACTAATTGTTCTCACTCCTTAATTTCTAGCTTGTTTCTCTCCTCGGTTAGTTTCCATCAGTTGCTTCTTGTCCTGCCTTCGGGCGCTTTGGGGAACAGGCTGACCCCCACCCCCTCTTCTTTAAGAGGGGCATAAATATTAAGAAATATTTGGCCACCTCTAAACATTGCTGCAAAAGCCCTGCATGTCATACAGGCGGTCCTCGACTTACAACCGTTCATTTAGCGACCGTTACAAAGTTACAACGGCACTGAAAAAAAGACAAGTTACGACCATTTTCCACACTTAGAACCGTTGCAGCCTCCCCGGGGGGCTCACGTGATCCAAATTCAGACGCTGGGCCACGGACTCCTATTTATGACGGTCGCAAAGCCCCGGGAGGGGGGGTCACGCGATCCCCTTTGGCGACTTTCTGACAGGCAAAGTCCATGGGGGGGGGGGGAAAGCCAGATTCACTTAACGACGGTGTGGCTGACTTAACGAGTGCAGTGATTCACTAATAGCGGTGGCACGAAAGGTTGTGAAATGGGGGCACCACAGCTACGTAGGTTTTGAGCTCAATTGTTGTCGTAAGTCGAGTCGTCTGATTTAGTTCCCCCCTCCCACCCGCCTCGCTGCGTGCCCACATGCCAAATTTCCCCAGGTCCCCACTCACTGTGTGCCATGGCTCAGCCGGGCTCCGTCTGAATCTTCTCCAACCTGGCAACCCCTTTTAATCATTAATTGACACTTCACCGATATTCGTGGCCTGCTAGTAGCGGATGAGATCAGCCTTCTTTCTCTGGCTGGCCCGCCTCTTGCCTTACCTGGAAAACGGGCCTGCGGTGGCCTCCGGATAACCCAGCCCAGGCCCCTTAGGATATCTGGGGGAGTGACCCCCATCCGGTTAACTCTAACCACTCCTCCTGACAGTCAGAACAATTAACCAGTGGAACAACCTGCCTCCAGAAGCGGTGAAGGCTCCAACACTGGAAGTTTTTAAGAAGAGACTGGACAGCCATTTGTCCGAAAAAGGTTTCCTGCCTGAGCAGGGGGTTGGACTAAATGACCTCCAAGATCCCTTCCAACTTTATTATTATTATTATTATTATTATTATTATTATTATTATTATTATTATTATTATTATTATTATTATTATTATTATTATTATTAT